GCATACAATGAATTATGGATTGCATTATACGAGGTATCCTCCCGTGCTCGAAGGATTTACAGATGCGAATTGGATATCGGATAGTACTGATACGAAATCCACAAGTGGATATGTATTTACTTTGGGAGGAGCAGCAATATCTTGGAAATCTTCCAAACAAACATGCATAGCCCGATCAACTATGGAATCGGAATTTATAGCTCTTGATATGGCTGGAGGAGAAGCTGAGTGGCTAAGAGATTTTTTGGAAGATGTTCCCATCTGGCATAAACCTGTAACGGCAATATGTATACACTATGATAGTTTAGCTGCACAATATCGAGCTAAAAATAGTGTATACAATGGGAAGTCTAGACAAATTAGACGAAGGCATAATACAATAAAGCAATGGCTCTCTAGTGGTGTAATTTCTATTGACTATGTCAAGTCAAAAGATAATATTGCAGATCCGCTTACTAAAGGCTTATCTAGAGAGCAAGTTAAGCATACATCGAGGGGAATAGGTTTAAAGCCAATAGAGTAAAATGAAACTGCCAAATGGAAACCTAACCTAGTTGATTGGAGATCCCATGGTCTAGGTTCAATAGGCAAACTGGTTTGGCTAGATTCAAGAAAAAACACACTTACATACCCATTCCTATGATGGAAGAAGTGTGGTGACTGCTGATGAGTGTAGGATACATTAGTTTAATGATATTGATACTTGTAAGTCAAGTGGAATAGTAGCAGCCTATTCTTAATCAATATCACCTATATGAGAGAAAATGTGGGGTCGCATTTATGAGAATTATATGGCTACATTCTCTAAAGCTCTCATGAATCCAGGATTTGTTCAGGACCAAAATGAACACAAACGTATGAATTTGCGATGTGTTGGTGTGGCATATGTTTTGCTTATTGTCTTGGTTTACTGCAGAGATGAACAGTTCAAGATTTTATATTCACTGCGTCATCTAGTAAATCCGATAAGTATATACTAAGGTAGGTTCAAGTCCAAAAGACACCTCTCCTGATGTATGTCACATCTATTGTTTACTCTCGTATCTTAGTTTCTCTAGGACCAAATAGTCGTCTCAAAATGTGGGGTATTGTTGGAAGTTTTGAGACTCTTGTCCCACATTGGTGAAAACAAGATTCCCAAGTACCTTTATATATGTTTTGTCTTCTACAATATTAGTTACGTGTTGGACCACATGGAATGGGAATTGAGGCTTGGGCCACCATTTCTGTGGATTGGGCTTGATGATTATACCATAATATTAATATTAATTAATATTAATTAATCAAGACAAGGGCCTTGGGCCTTGGAGCACTTGGGGCCTAAGAATTAAAATTAATCTGATCAATTAGTTTTAATTTCGAATTAAGTTTTTAATTAAATTAATTAAAAACGTTTTGATTAAAGATACAACCTTTTGTAGAGAGTTGTAAAGATTCATATACATCCAAAAGGTATTTGAAGAGGTATGAAAGAGCCTATATAACTGGAGTCCTCAGTTCATCATCAATCATCTTTTCTCCTTCCTTTTCTTCCGTACAAACTTTCCAGAGATAGTAAACACACAAAGCAATTCGTTAGAATTCTATAATCCAGTGCAAGTTGTAGGATTAGGTAGTTGTATCCTGGTTGAGCAGACGTTATAGAACCACAAGCACAAGAGTGGGACGGAATTACTGTTCGAAAGACATAGCTTTTATGCTAGCCTCTACCTTCTGTAATCAAGTTAGTAATGTTGATATTCTTATATTAATTTATGTATTTATTGTATACTTTTCATTCTGTACAGCAAGTACTTTTTGTGAAATAAAATTGTGAATTTCAAGTTCTGTTTATTTCTATTATATTGTTTATTTCTGAATTGTTCTCCAACACTACGACCAACACCGATCAGAGGAATTTCTAGCGGCTCTTGGTGCTAACATGTTTTATGCAAGTTTTTGGATTGTAGTGGCGTTCCGATGACTTTGGTGGCTCTGGCTGGATTCCCTTCTGCCCCGCCCCTCTGAGTCTATCCCGGCTACAACTAGCCTCGCACACCTGCATGAGCCTCTGCTTTCGCTACCCATGCCTACTGCCAAATTGCAGCTGCATCTCCATTGTGGACATGTCGACTTGTTCTTTTGTTTTTTCAGTTTAGTTTTTATGATTGGTCTGTGTTGCTTCAACAAGTGATTTGTGTCGCTTCTACAATTTTGTAGCCTCGTTGTCTTGCGATGGTTTTGGTGAGGGTTTTGGTGCTTGGTGTGTCACGTCTTGTCTATGGGACATATTAATCTTGGGATTCCTCGTTCTAGTGGTGTAATTTGTGTGATGGCCATATAGGGGTTTAAAATTATTTGTAATTTGTGCTTGTTACCTCCAAATCAAGAAATTGATCATTGGAGCATATGTGCCCATCTAGTATCCTTGTAAGTGGTTGATTATGGTAATGAAATTCTATCATTTCTGTCCCCACCAAAAAAAAAAAATCATCTCATTGAAGTCCCATTTCAGCCTTAAATTCTTTCAAATTGTATTCATTCGTTGTGTTATTTGTCTACCTTAAAGTCGGAGAACTTTTACATTATCTTGTGAAAAATGAACTTTTCTAGTACGAAAAGGGAGGGGGTTTCATGGTTTTTGCTTCAAGTTCATAATTGACGATGGAATGCTTTGCAAAGTATTCGAACAAAGAATGTATTGATTCGTTTGATTTGAAATTTCACCTCCCCTCGTGTTTCTATCTTTAACTTTATTTTTGTCATTGACTAGTACAATTACCATGTGATCGAGAAATTTTTTTCAAGTGTCTGGTACTCAAGTAAGTATTACACATGTAACAAAATATGTGGGATACAGAAAATATTTCATTTCTTTCATTTGTATTATGACATATGAGTACAGTATGTAATAAATTCATGTTTCACCAAAAGATTTATTTTATCCATTATATATTATATGTAGTCTGTTTGACAATTTTAAGCTTTTGGATGTCTAATTCCCTTATATGTTTTAATTCTGGTGATTTAAATTTATCATTCAAGTTCCAAGATTAGTCTTTTTGTCTAAATTATTGATAAAGCGCATATAGCGGATGAACAATCCAACACCCAACTTTTCTTCCCAAAGCATGGCATAACATGATTTAATAGGGGTGGGCGTAGTGCAGTTCGGTGCGGTTTCGAGTGAAATCACAACCAAAACCGAAACATTTTGCGGTACGGTTTCAAACGGTTTCGGTTCGGTTTTTGAGATTCTTTTTTTCTTCTCGGTTTGAGGTTTCGGTCTGGTTCTTCTGGTTTTGGTCCTAGAAGGAAGGGAAAATGTTGAGTGCGTTTTTTCTCCAGTCACGGTAGCAACCATATTCCAAAACTGGTAGCTAAAGGTGGGTTTGCTTTTACAGGTTTGTGCTCGTTGTTTAGGACGAGCACAAGGTCTTATGCTAAAGGGGGGCTTGCTTTTACATGTGAGCTTGCTATGCTAGTCAAGGTCTTATGTTGTTTGAGCGGAACTGAGAGAATTGATTGCTCTTCTTGTATACTTTGATAATTAGGAGTACTACTGATTAGATTTTCAATTAGAACCGCATTTTCCTTATCTTGTTCTTGTTATTTATCTGCTGCATTTCTCTTCTTTTCCCATTTTGATCGAGTGTGGGCAAGGGAATACAATAGTTCAGCTAAGACCAAGTTATGTGAAATCATTGTCCGAAACTAAAGTGAAAAACATTGCTACCGGACTATGGCATACACTGTATAGTTGAGTCTATACTATAAATATATGGACTCTAATAAAGAACCAATTAAAACATGACATTTAATATATGGTGTGGTTTCGGTTTCGGTTCGGTTTTGAAAACCCAAAACCGAAACCAAACTGTTTTCCTAACTCTGGTTTGGTTTCAAAACCGCAACTGTTTCAAAACCCGCAAAACTGAACCTTCAATTCGATTTGGTTCGTGTTTCTGTTTTCGATTCCAAGTGTCCACCCTATGATTTAAAAGTGTTGCTCACTTGTAAATTTAATAAGGTAATTATACCAAATTCATCTAAATTTATGGGAAGAGAGATTCAAATTTGGATATAGATGTTGGAGCAGACAACTCTAACCAACTTGACTAAACCTAAATTTGCTTTTTTTATTTTCAGTTTAATTTACCACTATTTTCATGTTCCAATTTTTTTGATGAAATGCTAGGAAAATGCAAAATTTTATGTGGTTGATTGATCAAATTAATCACAACAACTTGCTAATTTGCATAATCATTAGTGAAACAACATGCTTCTCAAATACACTCGGTTCCTAGTCTTTCCACCTCCTCCCTTCTTCTCATGACAAACATTCGAAACAAAAAACTCGAAAGCAGTTGTATCAAAATTTTCAGATTACAAAAAACAAATAAAATAAAAACCCTCGCTCCCTCATGAAAATTTAGAAATAACAACTATTTTAATAGATTTTAAACTTGAGACTTGGAGGTCCCAAGTTTTTTTTTTTTTTTTTCCGCACAACAATTTGAAATGTCAATTTCTTTTTTAATCCAAACGTTAGGTTAAAGTACGGTAGGGGTAATGAGCTGAGCTAGGTGTTAATTTCCAAAAGTAAAAATGAGGTGGGTGTTTTAGTTAATTTCTTTTTTTTGGGTTACATTAGCTGAATTATTATTAGTAGTCTATATTGAGTTTTCCTAATCCAAACAGATTTCTGATATATAATTAAAACCCTGATTTTTCGACCAAAAATTTGAAACCCTATCTACTCGGAATCAAATTGCATGCTAATTAAATGGAAATGATTGAGAGGCGGTGCCCTACATCTATATGTTGGAGGGCAAGCAAAGAACTCACTCACATTAAACCCACTTCACTACTCCAAGAAATCCCTCTAACCCTAATCAAACTTTCTTCTCCTCCACATATTAAACCCTACTACGTACGTCGTACCATCTGTCTCACAAGAAATATTCTATCTTGTCAAGAAAGTCGAAGGAAAACCTAGCTATATCTACCTTACCTAATCTATGGCACATTCTGATACCTTTCCCGTGGGTTACAAGTGTCATCCAAGAGACGAGGAGTTAGTCGGATACTATCTGTATAACAAGGTTCGTGGCACACCTTTTAGGGTTGAGAATGTTATTCCTGAGATCGATCCTTATGGTAGCATGGAGGCAAGAGATATATGGAATAACAATGGCGAACAGAATTTAGAAAAGGATGAAGACCTTTATTTCTTCACCAAGCTGAAGCCGGCCAAGGGTACGGGTTCCCGAGTGGCTCGCACCATAGGGTCTGGGACATGGAAGGGCGAGACCGCAGGGGCCAAAGTCAAAGATCCCAAGACTAAGGCCCTGTTTGGGATTGAGGTGATTTTAAAAAAAGCCACTGTGAAAAAAAGCTGAGGGTCATTTTTGTGTTTGGTAAACTGAAAAAAAAAAGGGCTTATTTTGGAAGCTGCTGTGAGAATAAGCTGAAAATCAAAGGAAAAGCTGAAGCTACTATTTGCTGTTTTAAAAAAAAGCCAGTTTTTTTAAAGCACACGGAGCTACAGTGCTCCTTTAATAAAAAGACACACTATCATCCTGCTTTTTTTTCCAAAAGCACTTTCACAAAAAAATTTACCAAACACTCTACTGGCTTTATTTCACATCCGCTTATTCTAACAGCACAGCCGCTTATTCTCACAGCAGCTTTTTTTCAAAGCACAGCAATACCAAACCAGCCCTAAGGAGACGATAGGTTTCTTTAAAAGGTATCAATACAAGAATACTAAGTATCCTCAAGAAAGCGGTTGCTGGATTATTCACGAGTTCAGCCTTTACCCTAAACAGGTCATGCGCATTAAATCAAGTCCAAGTAGTCGTCCGAATGATGCCGAATATGTAGTCTGCCGGCTTTGAAAGAACTTTGACAGAAAGAGAAAGGCGGATGATCACGAGGAGACTGCAGTAGTACAATCCCAGCGCAAAAGGATTCGGATGCAATCAGAGAATATTGATCAATCTTATGCTACTCCCATGTCTTCTGAGGTTAATAGCGATCACTACAATCAGCAGCAGCAGGAGCAGACTAGTATTAATGCAACTAGTACTAGTAGTAGTATTAGTGTGACTAATGTGGATCAGCCACATTACTTACTATTGTGACTCTGAGGTTATTAATCAGTATGATATTCCGCAGCAGCAGGAGCACGCGACTGCTACTAGTGATCCTCTCAACGTTACAAACTTGCCAACTAGGCTTGCTGAGCAGCAACACTACTTTGTTACGCAAGACCCAACTGTGGCTTACTCATCACTGGCTATGGCTGGGCCAGACAATCAAGAGCAACAAGTGCAGAGTAATGTAACAGACTTGCCACAATACTACTATGATGGCGATGCCAGATACTTACGTATGTCTCCCTGAGCTAAATTTTGTCGTAGACCCAGCTATGGCCTCTTCACTAGGTATGTCAATATCTAGCCAAGAAGGCTATCTTCAGCACAATGGTTTGGTGAGTAATGTTATGACGGACTTGACACAGTACTACTACTCCAGTACACAAGACCCAAGTAGTGGTATTGTTTCCTCTCAGTATGATCCGCCGCAGACTGCTACTACTGGGTTCGCTAATCAACCACACTATTTCGTTACACAAGACCACCAGCCACACTACGTTGTTGCCGATGCCACCGTGGCTTCTTCACTATCTAGTCCATCCGATCTTGATCATAATCATCATATCATGGATAAGGATCAACTTCCCCCTCTTACTTTTGACTACACCCCTGGTGACATCATGATAGACTTGGACGACCTTTGGAACAATTAATGTGGATCAACCTGTTGTACTTGTTTGATTATGTTGTTGTAAATTGTAGATTTTTCATTTGACCAGTATCATCGATCATATTGTTTACACTACGGTTTTTGATCTAATGTAATAGTGTTCTTACTTGATATACTACATTTAATTTGTACGTAATCGATCAATATCCCATTATATATATTGCACTCTTCGGTTTTTTTTTCCACTTTCTATATATGTATGCTTGCATGCAATCTTGTTTTTGTCAAATCTGCTTCATGTCTTTGTTTCATTGAAAATGTCTGGTGGTGCATGTTTAGATGTGTATATATATAATATGTTATATAAACCTGGGAACCATAATCTGAGGGTTGGGTTATTGGTTAGACATAGGTTAAAGGCTCATGGAACAAAACGGCACCAATTTTTGAAGGTGAATTTTGTATGTCCGAGTTGGATTACCAAGTAGCCAGGATAATGTAATCGGCGTGGCAACGGTCGTTATTGCCCCAGAAAAGAACACAATTAAGTTAAGGGAATTCTTTGGATCTCTTTTAAGTTTTAACATTGAAAAGAGAAGTATCACTAGTCAAATAATGCTAGTCGGTAAAAACTCACTGATCTTTACACAATTATGTTGTAAAGTTCAATTACATATATAGTACCATGTTGATTAGCCAAAAACTGGCAAATTAGTTGGTAAAAACTTACTAATATTTACACAATTATGTTGTAAAGTTCAATTACATATATAGTACCATGTCGATTGGCCAAAAAATGGTAAACATCTAGGACCGTGTAGCATTGTTTATCTATTTGGTCCTGATAATGGAAATTACATAGTGGTACTCGTACAATTGCTCACTTCTAAATAGTACCATCATATAATTGCACATGGTCACTTGATTTACCGACACTCGATCTTTACTTAATTACAGATCTCAAATTTGACTCACACGAATATAGAGAAAACTGACTTTGATACTAAATTGACTCATTGTGGATTGTTATGCGTGGGTCAGCAATGGATTGTTTTATGTGGGCCAGCAGTCGATTGGAATAGTTGTAAATAGGGATGTGTGGCACACATCCATTTTTACTTCTTTCATACCCCTTGTTAACTTCTGTTCTTTGATCTTCTTCAATTCATTCGATTCGACGGCCGAAAATTAAAAAGGTGTGATAGAAGTAAAAAAGGATGTGTGGATATCACATCCCTTGTAAATACACATCCCTTGTAAATATTGTATTGTTTGTTAAAAGAAAAATCAAAGAGTACTGAATACTACCAAGCAGCTATCCTTCTCCATGGTATGAATGACCATAGACCAGACAAAATATAATATAAACTGACAAACTTCCATGATAAATGCTCTGAAGTCCTTTATTTGGAAGGAGAGGAACAACCGTATGTTGAGAAATCCCAGGTTTCCTTGTCCCCTTTTTAAGTTGTTTAGCTTTCAATCATGTCCGGGATTATTGATCTTGTCTGATGGTTTGAATTTTAACCTTGTGTTTTCCAACCCAGAATGTTCCGTAATGCTCCAATGTATCTCATACTCCGAATTTTTTAACCGTTAAATTTTTGTTTAAAACACAAAAAACAAGATCTAACAGTTAAAAAAACCAAAATATCTTTATATTCCAAAGCACCATACAACTTTTGTTCCAAGCCTGTTGACTTTTTTTCCCTATGTCTTGGGGAAATTTGACAGTACTAGAGCAGGTAAGTAAACATATCCAAGAAGTTATAACTCTCAAATAAACTACAAAACGGGTAAAGACAAATCTTCTACTGCAACTATTTTAAGAAAACAACCTTCTATGTACTTAATATCAAACATCCTTTGTTTAAAAACACAATCACTCCGCATACAGGTATGATTACCACATCATGCAAAGACCTGATGTCCATCACCAAAGCATGTACACAATATCCATACAAGGTGGCAACCATAAAATTAAACATTTCATGCCTCGGAAGGTTTTCTTGAAACATCGGATACTTCATTTCCGAGCACAGTCTAGCTTGGTTCATCCATCTTCGCTCTCGAATCTGTGGTTGACTCGCTTTCCCTCATGCTTTCCTGCAAAACCTGGTTGATTTTCCAGCCAAAAGAAAAAGAAACTTGTTGAGATGTTTAGAATCAGTGTATATCTTCAGACATTTTAAGTTAACTACTATTGCTAAAGCAGATGTGTAATAGACGAGTCCTTTTACCTGCAACAGCTCAGACATTTTTCCATTTCTATCGTCCTCCGGTGGTTTTGAATGTGGTATAGAGTAGTCTTTAGGCTGTATGGATTGCAGAGGCTCAATAACTAAAGGCTGTTCCATATCGTTCTCCAGCTCACTGCCAGTTGACTTGCTACCCTCAATGTTCATCTCAGTTGAATGTGAGGGGGCATGTGCAGGGGCTTGTGAGGGTGTATCAATCCTCTTAACTACCTCGGTAACCAATTTTTCAAAAGGTATATTTGGGAGTCTCGGTGATTTGGCTTCTGCCTTCAGCGTCTCTGTTGATGGTTGATTACACGTACCATTCTCATTTTGTCCACCTTCGAAGACCAATGATTGATTTCCAACCCTTGGAATCTGGTTGGTAGATATCGACCCATTTGATGGAGGAACTGATGGAACCTGCTTAACTTTTGAAGTTGCCAGATCTGAAGATTGGTTTACAACTTCATTGGTGAGTGGCACCCAGATGGTGCGTATTGGCGCATTGGTAGGAGGATCCCCTGGTGCAACAGAATTTGATAAACCAGTGAGTGGTACCCCTTCGGATAAATTTCGAGGTTGCAGTATAACAGGCAACAAGTTGCCTCTGGACAGTAGTGGGCTAGCAGTTTGGGGTGCCACTGGAACCATATGTTTGCGTTTTGATGCTACATGATTAACAGACCGAATGGCATCTCTAGAACGAGGACTCGAACCATGGAAATGAGAGATCTCAGCTGGAATTGGAATCACATTTCGCCTTATCATTTGAACATCTGGGGCCACGTCATTCTCTGCTGAAACAGGAACGTAATGTCCAGGCTTGAAGATAACACCCCTCATAGTGGTGGCAGAGTTGCCAACCCTAACACTAAGTAGATATCCTCCATCAAATGTTGCATCAATGACACCTGAAACTACTGTTCCGACCATGACATCAGCTGCACCATTACTGGGAGCTCCATGATGGGGCTGGTATCCATTCCTCCCTAGAAATCCAGGAGGAGCAGAAGGAAAACCAGTACCAGCATTTTCCCCCGAGTTCAGATTTGGAGCATTTCTCACATGAGCATTCTCTTTCAGATCTAGTTTGGGATATTTCCGTGGACGGCCACGTTTTCGCTTCATGGGGATACTTGACGAGCCATCAGGGGTGTTCCCTTGATCCGATTGGCTCATCTTCAGGCACTTTTACCAAACTCTCGTCCTCTTCCCCGAAATTTTCCCACCCTACAGCAAGACGAAGAGTTTAAATGAGAGAATTGATATGGAACATGATATTTAAATTACATGTCAATGATATATTGGATTCAATCTGAAATCATATTCATATGCACCAAGACTTTCAGAGTCCTCAAAATTATTAAGTTGAACATTTAAGTAAGCTAACCTCCACAAGCTACAAGCCAGCTGCTAATAGCTTAAAATTTTACCATATCAAACAATATTAACGAAAACAAAAAACATTAAGAAAAGGATCTATATTTCTCTTCTAAATTAGGCAATGAATCTATTGAGTATTCTTGAGCTACAGAAGCTAAAACTTAGCCACATGTAAATTCCATAATTTAAATAATCGTGATTCTGAAAATATAGTAAACTTCCAAAGCAAAAAGGAAGCAAACGTTTACAAAAGATGCTGGATAATAAATGAAAAATCCACTTAGTATGTAATAGTGCATTACATGCAAGTAACATTAACCCAATAAGAAATTCTAACTGAAAAGGAAAAACGAAGAGAAAGGGAACTTTTATAAGGAAATCATCGATAAAGGGTTATTTTCATGGGTTGATTTCTTCTTTTGAGTACACAATTATCAGAGACGCACTCTACCACAGGGCTAATAGCTTGTTGTGGGACTCCCGCTGGGTCCACTCTTCCAAAACCAAGAGAAAGTCCACCCCCTTCTATCCTTTTTCACGTCGTGTTTGATTTACTTTCCTTATTAAGTTTTGTGAGTTTTTGGACAAGCAGAGCTTGGACACCAAATACAAATGTGTGTTTGACTCACTACTTAGTTTTGTCTATCTCTACACGACTACACTTCTCGACCAAATGGTGAACAAGAAAGTAATCTGAAACTCTAGGAACCAACTCTGACACCACTTGTTAGGACGTACGTACAACTGCAAACTTAGATACAAAAGAATCACCATTTTGCTATTCACAACAGAAGTAATTACACGAACGAGAAAGAAAATGTTACGAGCAAGTGCTTTGTAAAATTCTTGTCTAGACTCTAAATACACCAAAATATTTATTCTTTCACCCAGTATAAATAGTATAAGAGACAGTTGAGTTAATCGTACAACTCAAACACAAACACAAACACAAACACAAAGAAAACCCTTGTGCACCCACCATCTCAACATCCCGTCATGAACTACTTCTCTAGTTCTTACGTTCCCTAGTCTCAAAATTCTCATAGCTTGGTTTAACCTCAATTGTTTGTCCCTCATAAGTTATGTATTTAATACCCTTATATAGAACAGGCTAGCCGCTAGCTTCCGGTGCTCCAAGTCAAGCGACAAACAAAACCATTCGCCAATTATGATTTTCGGACAAACCCGATTCCTAATAACTGAAAAATGATTGCTTTAGAATCAACAAACAACATCAGTGGATAAGCATGATTGCAAAATGTCATCAGAAAGACAGCAAAAGAAATTGGCAGAGGCAAATATAAGCCACAACAGATGCTAGTGAACCAAAATGAATAATTATATCGACATTGATTTTATACAAGTGACTCAACTTAAAATTGAAATCCAGGTACCACAAAAAAATAGACACACCTGAAGCAACAGACAAAATAAAATCCAGGCAACAGAAGCTTTTCGATCCTTATTATTCACCTTCAAATTTCAGCAACAAGTCCGAACTGAATACAGATGGTAATTTCAAAATAATACTGAAGATTCAACCAAAAAAAATCATAAATATTTTATTTTATCTTATTTATAAAAAAAAGCTAATATTCCACCTGGTTGCCGAGAAATGTTATAAATATTTCCTAACTTTTTCACAAATGGGGTCAACAAAAGCAAATAACTCCACTCACTCACCTGAACAACCACACTTTCGTATTTATTCTGCTTTATCTGTTTTCTTTTCTTCTTTTTTTCAGGTCAAATTTGAGCATAATAGCAACTTAGAATATAGATAAACCAAATTAAAATTTTTATCTTTATTTTTTACTTGATACCCAACAAAACTTGGATATTAACTTTGCTATTAAACCCAAGGAAAAGTTTTGAGCTTTGATTACATTTAAGTGAACCCAAGTAAAAAAAAAAAAAAAACAAACAAACAAACAAAGCTGAGGTAGGGGATTGAGAGAGGCTGGGGAAGAAACTGGCAGTACCTTCTCCAAGTGTTGCAACGACGTCGTGGAGCGGAGAACCAAAAGCTTCAATGGTTGATGCTATCTGGGAATTTTGAGGCCTTGGGTTTTGTTTTGTATGGGGCGGAAGGGACGAGGTGGGGAAACTAAGATTCTAGAGAAACACAAAAATTGAGTTCGGAGAAAATGTGGTTGTTTGGTTCACTTTCGATGCTGAAATTATATTATTAATTAATTAATTAATTACCGTGGGAGGATGGAAAGTTGACAGGTATGATATGTTACATTGTACGATGTAACAGTGCGGTGACACATAAAAGTGGGTTGTTACTTGTTCTTATCCTCCCTAATTCTCTCACTTTCTTTCACAAAGATAATGTGATGCTTATAAAGATCTGAATTTAAATTTGAATTCGATTAAAACTGTTGAATCGAGATAAATTTGCTAAGAAAAATTTAAATGGACAAGATTTAGCTCACTTACCATTAACATATAGTTTGGTCACTTATCTTGTACTCTCCTAATTTCACATTTTCATTCTAACCATAACAGTTCAATGAAATTCATTTATCGTAATTCAAATATATGTTTAAGTATGAAATGTATATTCGAACACATCTAGAGAGGCTAGTAATTGTGTGTCACCTATGACATCCAGATTGAATCTATAAATGTTATCATTAAGCAGCATGCCAAATTGATTATTAAGACCATATAACTAAAAGGTTTAAAAAAACTAGTCATAAGAATTAGGTTAGAAGCTGACTGAGTGCCCAACCGTGCCACGATTGAATATGTACTAGCAACAATTTAAAGAATTTGTCTTAGAACTTAACAAAGTCCGACTAAAACCGATTCGCTTTCTATAAAGTTTGGAAGGACCCACATGGTCCCTTGTGCACAAAACATTCAAGGCCCCAAGGAATGTGACGCTCACCTTCAACGCATCATTAACGCTTACCTTCTACGAGTTATTAGCGTTCATCTTTTACATCAATATCAAGAAGATCCAAAAAAGCATTAACCAAGAAAATGGTGAACATCTAATGTTAACATTCTTAAAATGACCGAGTCACGTTAAATGTTTTACTTTAAATGATCAAAAGTCAACCATTAAATCACAAGTTGTCGCATCAACACGAACCTATTTTTCCGGCATAAATGACCAGAAAAATAGGAAAGAATCTTTGAACCTAGATAAACCTTGATGTACTTTAGCATCCAACTTAACTTAAACTTGCTTCTTAAAGATGAATTTTGTTTGCCTTTGAATAAAATTCAAATTTAGGAATCAAAGAGCAGTTGACCGATATCACATCGAAACCATTATTCGATGGCCCTTTTGTCTCCTGTGAGGTGTCTACAAAGTAGAAGTTCAACTCAACCACTCTAAATTGGAAGGAAAAAGAAGACTCTTAAGTGATCCAACCGTACACGACACGCACAAGCATTCGTGCTTGGGCTACACTTTGGGGTACGAGAAAGTTCGAACTATAATCTTTGAGGACATATGTTTTCCACAACTCTTTAATTACAAATCTCCCAACATAAGCCTTCGTTATGTACAATATGTCAATTTGCAATGTACTTATTGGTCTACTTTTTAATACTCATATCAAGAAGCAGAAGACTTGTAACTCAAGTAATTAAACATTTACGTTTGCATTCAAGTTCATGTCTACTCTACCTTTTAATACTCATAAAAAAACAGAAGACTTGTAACTCAAGTAATTAAAAACATTTACATTTGCATTCAAGTTCATGTCTACTCAATTCTCTCTCTCTCTCTCTCTCTCTCTCTCTCTCTCTCTCCACCAAGATTCCAAAACTGTTACTGTTACACAACTGAGTTAATGGTGTCACCGTTGCATGTTTTCTTGATCTTCTGCTTCTCTAGTATCAAAATCTGCTTATATTTGTTGCTTGAGATCCCTCTGAAGCTCCTTTAAGTTCTTACTCTGCCCAGCTATACATTCTCACCAATAACGAATCCGAAAAATTGCTCAAATTAATGTCATGTGATGAAAATCAGAACACAATGGTAGGAGAGACAATTTCCTTACGTATGATAATGCCTTATCTATTCTTCCCTCAACAAACAGATACTTTTACATTTTAAAAATAATTCTATACAATCAATGTTGGGGGAGGGGGAGTCGAACTTAGGACCTTAGTGTCGGGTTATTGCTCTTAATCGATTGAGCTACAAGCCCCTCGCCATTTCGAAACTAATTGAGTTACAATTAATAGGGAATTGTAATTTAAAGAATGGATGATTACTAAAAAATGTACCACAGCCTCCACAACTACGACTTTGTACCATTCGTGAATTCTTCTAAGAGCAACTCCAGCCTTGCTGGTTGCTCGGGCGTCAGGCGAGGAGAAAGGGCCCTCGGGCCGGTGGGAGCAAATCCAGCGGGGAAGGGCCCGAGTGAGGGTGGGAGGTCGAGCGAAGGGGGGGTGGGGAGTCGACGGGCCTGTGGCCCGAGGGTTTTGTATTTTTTTATTTTTTTTGTGTCAGAGAGAGAGAGAGAGAGAGATAGCTTTTGTAATTTTTTATTATTTAAACAAACATAAAAAACTATTATTTTTATTGCTTATTGCCAGGGGGAGGGTTCTAAGGGTGGAGATGTAAATGGCAATTACTTTTCATTAATGATAATTACTATTCATTTAAGGCAGTTACTGTTCAATAGGGTGGATTGAATAGTGGATTGCCAGGGGGGAGGGCTCCATGGGTGGAGTTGCTCTAACACAAGAGGCTTCTGTGACTGTGGAAGGTGTATTGGACATACAAGTCATGTACCATTTTAATATGTTCGTCAATCTTGTCAGCTGTCCAACCATCAGTTTTTATCGGAGGAGGATACTTTACGCTTAGAGATGCTGGCCGAACATGTAAGCTACCCTTCCTCCATGCTTGATGGGTACCCGTCAGGACCATGGGAACTATTGGGAGACCTGTTTGCAATGCCAGATGAACAAAGCCCTGCAAAGAAAAGTTACAGAACTTATATTATATACTTGAATGCAGAAGACAAGTAAAGAAATTGAATTTCTGTACGAAAGTTAATGCCTAACGACGAACAAGATTATTCAAGAAGTATGATCAGTACATAAGAGTGATTGCAGAACACAATCCATTAGAGGTTACCCATGTTTCCTCAACTTTTTAAGTAAATGTGTTGCACCAAATGCATGAGATATCGACAAGGATAACTATCGAGGAGGCCAGGAGGTGTCATTCCACTCTATGACCGATCGGTATTAACAAGTTGTTGAAATTACCTTTTTGAAGGGGAGCAGTCGTCCATCTCTTGACCTGGTGCCCTCAGGAAATATGAGCAAAGAAACTAGAAAGAGATCATAGGTACAACCGTACAACGAGCTTGGCATGAATCACAGGCTGAAGGAGAGCTTACCATCAATCTACCAGTAACGTGTCCATAAACATTTCCTTGCTTAATCCTCTCATAAGGCCATGGTATGAGCACAACCATGATCACTGCCCATATCACAGTTAAAACCATCACCGTTATAAAACATGTGGCCATTCTACCACAAGATATCAGTGTGGATCCCCAACCGTCCTCACCGACACAAACATCATGCCTCAGCGTTTGTCCTACTTTTTTCACCGGAATTTTCGGTGTTCCTCTCACTCCTGGACCAGAGCTTGTGCTCAAAAAGCTCCCCAACCTTCTACTTCTTAAAAGAGGACTAGTTCCAGTGTTTTCCATTAACCAAAGGTTCATAGAAGTGAAAACAGAAGCTGTCTGGACAGATAGAACAGAATATGCAATCAAACTCAAAATATACTAGAAAACAAGTTGTTATTCAAAAATCTTCCCTTTATATATTTTGCTTGTATCAATTTCTGAGCAACCAAACAAGTCCTGTAATCGGAACCCTGTCAAAACGAATAATTTTTTAAGGAATAATATTCTAGAAACAAAACAGATAGAAAAGTAATAATATGAAAACAAAACAATGCAGATGCAGATGCTTCAAAGAAACGTCTAAACTCTTACTAGTTCGAATCTGGGCAGATAACAAAACTGATTGAAAGTATAACAGCTTCAAAACAATCTGAAACTCCTCGAACTTTTATTCGGGCTGTGAGTGCTTAACATGCGTGCGTTTCATTTCAAAGAAAAATTGTTTTGTGTTGTCGTGGAAGCCAAACAGAGCACTCGGAGTTTAGACAAATACCCACCAAACGTTCTCACCAAAGAACTTGCTGCACACTTTTGTGGTCGAGAAATTGCTGCACAGAACGTGCAAGAAAAAAGGAGATGACGTAGAAAGATGTATGAAAATAAGATTTATGGGTCTGTGGATACAAGGACAAAAGAACATGACAATAAACTTGTGATGGTGGCGCTAACAATGGGAGAGGGAGAGAGAGACAGAGCATCTCAACTTCTTCTTTTTCTTTTCTTTTTTTTCTTTTTTTTTTAATTTTTTTTATTTTATATTTAAGTATGAGAATTAAAGTGGTGAGTCCAAAAAAACCCTTTTTGGGAAAAAAAAATTAAAATGTTAGAATCAAATTTTAAAAAGAGCATTCTCACACTCATTTTCACCTCCACACACTTATGTTAATTTTTTTCCACTAATCTTCTTCAATTCATTCGATTTGACGGTCGAAAAGTGAAAGTGTTATATGAGAAGTAAAAATACATGTGTGGGTAGCACTACCTTTTAAAAATTGATATGTTTAATACGAGCAGGGTAAGGATTACAATACTTGGGTCATGACTAGTCTTACTCATCATATTTCAGGAAGACATGTTGTAACTTACAACCACTACTTACAATATTTTGGTCGTTGGATATTGTGGTTGTTGGAGATCCAAAGGCCTATAGTGCACCACGTGTAATTTTGCATTGTAGTTGGAGATTCAACCAATTGCTCTCCTGGGCGTGTTTTTTATGCACTCAGTTGAAGAAAAAAAAATGTAACAACCCATCCCTAATTATTATGCTTTTTATAATTTTAATACGCAAATTTATGAAAATGCCCTTCAAGGCCAAACGTCGACTTTTGTTGACCGTCTCATCGTGTCACGTAAGATCCATTTCCTTGGCGTTTTCTTGTAGTACTTAGCGTTACGGACACGTGGGCACAAGCAGAGTCGAATTTGGAGTTATAACGAATGAAGTTAAGGGCAAAATGGTCATTTGACCATAAATCTAGAAGGCTCCAGATTTTATGGAAGCATCAAACTGGTGCCACGTGTGTGGCTATGATGGAAAGAAGAGGAGAGAAATAAGGGGGGTAGCTGCCCAATCGGGAAGAAAGGAGGAAAATGAACCAATGGGAGATGAGAGAAAGAAAGGAAAGGAGGGAACGGAGGAACTAGCCAACCCGAACCTCCTTTCGACCCAAACCCCTCAACCCGTTTCCAATCACAACCCGGTCTCTGACCCGATGTTTTGTTGCTTTTTTGATGCCTTTCACAGCGTTTTCCCAGCTTTTCATGGCCAGCCACCTGTAAACATCACCACGGTATCCCTCATGTGATTTCCACCCAAAACTCGACAAGTTTTGGCCACATTTCGTGGTGCACAATACCTACAGGTTCAAGAACCCTTCGTCGATGATCGACCATTTCTGAAGCTTATTCTTTCCACCACCACCACTAATGGACCTCCTTAAACCCCAAGAACAAGCCCGAAACAAGATTGGGGGCGTCAGAGTTCGTTTTGAGGCAAATCAACGAATACGCATTTCTAGGGTTCCAACGGATTAAGGGTGATTTGAGGTGTTTTTCGGCCGAATTGGACTTCGGCCCAGGTGCATCGCTGGAAAGTGACTCTATCCTCGCTAGCTCGAGCAGTTCCCAAGCAACAAAAAATTTGTGAATAGACCCCTTCTGAACTTGCATGTTTTTACAAAATATTAGGTTTGCATGCATTTCATATTTCATGGTTTGAGTATGTTTTCCATTATGTTTTATGGATTGCTATATTTATGCTTTACGGAGAATTTATGATTTATTCAAATAGCTTTTATGAAATATTTATGATTTATCGAATTTAAGAAAGATTATGAATCATTGGATTCTCGTATATGAAATTTTATGGCTTCCAAATATGATTTATATTACGAAATTATGAATATGGATTTATGAGATGAGATTTTGAGATATGATTTCGGTGCTTATCTAGCAGGTTATCATACAACACATCCACATAACACGGTTATGTAGACGTCTATGGCTATAAGACATAGTTGAGGATATCTATGTATATATTTCTTCTCCGGCGTAACCCAGAGTCGTACATGTAACATCCCACATCGACCAACGGAGAGGGGGTGATGTGTCTTATATGTACATGCCCACCTCCATATAGCACGAGGCATTTTGGGAGCTCACTGGCTTTAGGTTCCATCGGATCTCTGAAGTTAAACAAGTTCACGCGAGAGCATTCCCAGGATGGGTGACCCACTGGGAAGTTGCTCGTGAGTTCCCAAAAACAAAACCGAGAGGGTGTGACTGAGGCCCAAAGCAGACAATATCGTGTTACGGCAGAGTCAAGACTGGAATGTGACAGTACAGTTTCACCTTTGGGTAATGAGGCCTACCATGTTTCTTCACTAGCGTAACCCAGTGTTGTACAACTTCACCTTCGGGTGATGGACAAGTATTGCCTTCGGGCGAATGAGGAGTTAATGATATTGATGACATACCCCTAGCTTTACTGGCTAAACCAATGTCGGACAACTTCATTAGCCATGGCTAGTGTCAATGTGTAATGTTATATGTTTCTTCTCTGGCGTAACCCAGAGTCGTACAGCTTCACCTTAGGGTGATGGGGCATTCCTTATTTCTTTACTGGCGTAACCTAGTGTCGTACAACTTCATCTTCCAAGGATGGACAGGTACTGCCTCTGGGTGACTATGATACCCCTAGAGAGAGTACAATATTTATGAGATTTAAGATTTTCCCTCAGGCGGCGATAGCATCATTATTGAGCATGGTTTTGCATATACATGTTTTACGAACGTTTTCATTGCATGCTAGAGTTTTCTGAAAAACTATTAAGTAGTACTATATATGTTTTCAAAAGTAGAGGTTAGTATGTTCAGAAATATATCGGTTTTTCGTATTATTAGTATTATTATAAACTTTGGTCCACTCACATTTTCTGTTTTTGCGCCCCCTCAAGAGGTAGATTTGAGGCACACAGTCCCGACATCAGGACACTTCCGCTTTGGCATCTTCGAGTCTCCTATATGTAGAACCCATTCCTCGGCTCGTATCTTTCTATCATAATTCTTTCTCACTATTCTGAGTAGTTGTATGCTTAGAACACCATTCTGCATTGGTTTATGTCTTTCTAGTTCCATATTTTTATTCGTATGCATGTTTTAAATGGCTTTGTCACCCTCGGGTGTCGACCAAAACATGCCTACCCTAATATTAGAGATATCGGAGTTGGGTCGTGTAAAAAAAAAATTTAATTAACATGGTTAACATCGTCCTCATGTCAGCCTGACATCAATCCACTTGGGTAGAAGCCCATGCAAGATATGCCTCGTCTCCAAGTCGAGCCAAGGCTGGCCTTCTCTTACCTAGGCTGTTTTTGACACAGCCTGAACATGATGTTCAATTGGCACTGAAATTAAGGCGTGCTATCCATCACCCAGATAGGTGACGAAGCCATGATATGCATAAAAAAATAACTAATGTTTTCAACTATTAACCGAAAATTCTGCAGAACTTCCCCTAAAATAAGGATAAGCCCAAATTAAGACACCTACAAGTAATCACAATTATTTCAACACATCTCTAAAAGACAACTCTAATGGGTCTCTAACTCTCTATTACATGTTTGACAATATGTTTAGAGCATAGTTGCCTAATACTAGTTCTACGGATAAATTGGAGTATATAACCTACTCGATAAAGTTATGTCAAAGCCTGAGAAGATGCCTCAATGCCAAATATGCTCACAGCAACTGCTACTGATTTCGATGGTATAGGATACAATATCATCCACTAGCCATAGCTAGTGGAAGCTGGATAATATAATCATGTCATTACTGAATAGTCTCGAAGTAATGACAAGCTAAGTATATGACCACATAATCATGTCATTACAGAGTACTCTCGACATAATGACGCGTTTGTAATAATGAGTACTATAAGAATATACTAATCCTTACGTCAAACGCGCCACGAAAGACAGTCAACAAAAGTCAATGCTCACCATTTTAGGGACATTTTGGTCATTTTCCACTAGTGAGAACAAAATTATACGAAAATTAGGGGCCGGTCGTAAAAATTTTGGATGGTGGGGATGGATTTTTGGTTTCTTAGGGTGGTTTTGTGAAGATCAGTGTTTTTAAAAATATGCATATTTCTTTTTATTAGAGTGATAGCGTTAGTGAGTTAATTAGTATTGTGGGATATATGTTTGTAACAGTAACGAAATTTGTTATAATGAAGGACTGTGCAAGACATCCTCAACTTGACAATGGTCATAATCTACCTTTCATGATTGTAGTATCCTTCACAATAAATCTTCATTGTCGGAAAACCCTAAACAAGATGGAATGAAAATGTGGCAACTCGATTTTGGAAGAGTAAGATGAGAGTAACTTTGTCACACCCCGATTTCGAGATACCTCAAAAACTGACATGTGATGTCGGGTTGTAACTGTACCACAACACGTTTCACTCCCAAGGTATAACCAAATCAACCCAATCGTTCAACAATGACTATAATTTCATGACGATCTAATGGTCGGATTGCTGCCTACTACAAAGGTCAAGTGGTGGCCACTTACGAAACTAGGTTCCTAAGGTCGAATCTTGTCAAACAATTATCAAAAACGGATTATAGGCATCAAAACCTAGAAAGACAAAGTAGGTCATCGAGGTTGCGTGCTGCCACACGCAACGACTAGCGGGCGGGATCTCGCTAGAAATTCGACAACACCAAATTGGCTCAAAATATACCACATTAAGAGTCACGAACATTGGAGCATTTTTTCATAAATTCACCAGAGTTCAAAACTGACCAGTTGACAGCAAAAATCGTCATGGAAGTCACTAATTGGTCGGAATTTCATGGCATGGCTGCACCTAAGAGTGATGGGATCCAGAGATTTATTATTGGGGTTAAGAGTTGTCTACTGTGGTGGTGGGTGGTGTCGGGGTGAACAAAAACAACAAGTTTGTCATTAGGGAGCTAGGAGTGTCGAGCTCCACCTCACCTAAAAATGTGGTCAAACGAGACAAAAATTGATTGAGTTATATTTGTTGGAATAGTGGTGGTGGCGATGAGGCTCATTGTCGAAGCTTGCTGAAAAAAACCATAAAAAAACTAGCCAGTCTCGAGTCGAGTTACAGACGAAACAAATTATAGAGTCGATCTCACTGGTCGGCCTTTCTAGAAATATAAAGCCGACTCCCACAATCTAGGATCTACTATATATAGATGTGTAGTTGACAAAAATGCCATTGCCTTTACTTGCTTATTTCTCCTTCGTTACGACTTTGATTTGCTAATGGTTTTCACATATATGCTTGTGAGATCGAGCTCTACTCAAAATACTAAGAGTGACCCCACAAGGTTTACAAGTTTTTAATGATAATTGTGACAAAACTAAACCTTAAATGAGAAATCCAAAATCTAAAATTAACAAAATTAAAATAATTTTAGAAGACGAAAAAGGAGAATATGGAGACGCCAAAACAAGAAAGAGAAAAACACGTGAATAAGAAGTTCACGAGATATAGATATCTCATTAATAAAATAACAGGTTTTTATCATAAATGTCGGTGAAATTGACCCACCTCATCAAGATGATCCCTGAAATTGAAAATTGATTAATGTAGTCCCTGAAATTGGTTGTCGCGTATTAATGTGGTATTTCCGTGTTGCGAAATTTAAACTAACCAAAATTAGCCCAACTTAGTTCCCAATTTTATGCTCGCAAGAGTACGAATCATTTGATAGTATAGAATGCAAGCACTTAATATCGTCCCTCATAAAATGATTTAATTCTTATCAACTAATTTAAATCCAATTACAACGAAGTAAAATTAGCAAAGATTGGTGAAAGATGGATTTGAGAATTGAAACTAATAGTAAAAACAAATGAAAACAAGAAAGTTTGATCACAATGCAAAAAGAGGCAGCCAAGTACATAAATTGTAATTCAGTCGAGTAAAACACTACAACATCTGACTCACCATAACCAATCAAACTTATCTTCTGCAGTGAACTATTAACAAGTACTCAACCTCATTGATAGTCAAATCTCCTTAATGCATGTAATATCTATGGCATCTAGACTATTACGTATATCCCAATTTGCAACCATCCATGGCATATGGAATAGTTTAACATCATGAAACTCATTACGATAAGTGGAAATTTATATAAAGACTACACAAATCCTAGAGTATGACATCTACTACTAGGTAATTCATGGTATCTGTTTGCACTCAAAATATACCCATTTTTACTTATTTGGGCAATTTGGGTAAAATATGGCATTTGGAGGATTAATATGCAAGAAAGCTGACTTGGAAAGATATTTAGATGCAAGTAGAGGGGTTGGACACTATAATATTGTTCTTCCAATTTGTTTTGGTGGTGGAGATTTGTCAAGCATTGTTTAATCAAGATACATGCATCCTTGCAAATGGATTGGAAGGCAACATAGGGGTGTGGATGCAAAGAAAATGTGAAAGAATCCAACTTGCTTATTTTAAATGTTAGTTTATTACAAGTGGGAAAACATGTGCTAAAAACATGTGGTGGAGATGCAAATTCCCCTTTTAATATTGTTTCTACATGCAAGTTGGCAAAAGCAATGCAAGCTACCCAAGTAAGGAAATGCAAGCTGCCCAAGCTTCTTTCGGGCAAGTACAAAACCTCAGCAGGAGGGTTTCATCCAGACCTCTATAAAAAGGAGCAGATGCACAAGGATTATGGACACTCAAACAAACAAACAAAAGCACAAACTCTGCTCAAACCAGATTTGCCAAAAGCCTTCTTTTATCTAGTTTATTAGCTCTGCTGCTCACTTGCGGTATCGATCTCATTTGTAGCTTTTATGTACTCATTTCCAGCTATATAAATTACAAGCAATCTGCAATTTTAGTCACTTTCCTCTGTCATTTATATTTCCAAGCAACCTTATCATTTACATATTGTTCTATCTCTCTATATAAGTAAAGTCCTTATTTTTAAGGCAAACAAAGAACCTTAATTTGAGCAACTCCCACTCAATGGCACAATCTCTTGGTTCGAAGTCAAACTCAGGCGCAACCTCAATCATTCAAAACTCGTCTACTAGCGGCATCTAGTAGTGGCACGCCCGCACCCACCAATCTCGTATGTGCAGTAAATCCCCGACTTGCCCGCAAGGCCCTATGGCGGATTTAGGGAGCAAACAGTATCTATTTGCAAGAAGCTCAAGTTGAAAACATGGCATTTGCACAACTTGCATCAAATTTACCAAGTAAAAGTTAAGATGGTAGCTAATCACCAAGACTAAAACCAAGCATATAAACACAACAAACGATACTCAATGAAACTGAAAACTTGAAATAATTCACTTGAGAATATAAGCATTCATAGTCATGGCTACATCGTAGCCCTAGTTAAGGAGTCCCAAAACATAATCGAAAATATTATTTAATTCATAACAAATGTGAGAAGAAAATTGAGTTTAGAAAAAACGCTGAAAAATCCTTGTGCTCTGCTGCTGCTGTTGTCTTTTGTATGTCCCTTGCTGCTTCTGTAGAATAATTGATTAGTCCCCTTTTCTTTTTCCTCTTCTATTTTATCTTGATTACTTTCTCCATTTGCCAACATTTTCCCTTGCTCTTTTGGTCTACTTGCTGCCGCAAACCCCCTCTGTGCCTTCTTTAATTATCCGCTCAATTCCAATCGAAGTCTCATCTCCAAATAGATATCCATCATAGCTGATCAGACTTACTCTGCAATTGAACAGATTGTGCAACCAAATATCCCAAATTTATGCTTTTGGCAAAGACCCATGAATTTGAAATTGCTTTGTGTAGGTGATTTACCATATTTCTCTCCAATTTAACTTCACTAAGATTTCTCTTTATTCTGGTTTCGTATGGAGGCTAACCTTGAAAAATGGGAGAGGAAATATGCAGCTTTCTTTTGTTTTTCTTTCTTTTCCTTGTCGGTTCAGTTTTGCATAGACTTGTGATCTATGAAATAAACACGTGGTGAAGGCTTCTCCAATTCCAACAAGTGACATGCACTGCACATAAATCAAAGGAAAATGAATGTAGACCACAAGTATATTATAAAGTCAAATAGGTAGACACTTAAATCATAACAGACCACTTGGTTTAATTAAAAATAAGGAATTATAACATGATATTTTCCTCCACCTCATTAATATAACTATAAAAGCACAACACTATGTACTTCCTTTCATTTAAGTCCAAAATATCACAAGAAAATGTAGCTTTCGGGAGAAAATAAATAGTAAAATATGCCCTCATCATCCCATCACAATTTTGTAAAAAAATTCGTTATGTGCTGATGTGGCACACAAATGGATCCTACAATGTAATTAAATATTGCCATGTGGATTAAAAATATTTAAAAAATTTATTTTATACAATTGAAAACAATAAAAAAAAGGAAAAAAAGAAGAAGATGATGACTGTTCATCATCTTCTTCCCCTCCTTCCCAGCGACCCGCCATTCTCCTCCAATTGAAACGGCACCGTCGCACCCGGTTCCTGCGGTCCTCGTGTTCGCAGGTGATGATAATTCGAAATGGAACCTCCCCGATGTTGATCGACCCGGATGTGCAGGCTGGGGGAGTGGGGCTGAGAATTGGTGACGACTCCGGCATCCCCTTCCCTTGCCGCGGCTTCCCACTCCCTTGCCGCCTGACCAATATTAACCAATCCAAGCCTTACCCTATTTCTATCGTCTCTTTTTTTTTTCAGTGACATTTTTTGTGAAGGTCGCTTTTTTCTCTTCAACCATTTTCTTATTATGCAGATTAATGGAAACCCAGATGTTAAAAATTGAAAATTACAGGTTAATTTGATTTGCGGACACGAAACTAAGGTATTTTACCAAGAGTTTTGGGCTCACCAGATGTGTATATGTAAAGATTGTCCCTATGCATTGTCACTCAGTGGAATGGTGGCCATATCAGGATTTTCAAGATCTGAAAACCTTTCAAGAGCATCATTTCTAATACCAGAAATTTCATCGCAGGTTTCCTTCACCGATTTGCAAGAGGATCCAACATGCTCTGTATCATTTTCTAGAGTACCTGAACATCTAAAATAATCACTTTGTCTGAGCTACAATTAAAGTGTGGATGAGGACATGAAATCTTGCCGAAATATGACAACAAGTGATTCCATTTGTAGTGGTTGCTCGGTGCGAGGCGAAGAAGAAGATGAACTGTCCATCTTCTTCTTGTTTTTTTCTTTTTTAAGTTATTTATTATATAAAAATAAAAATTGTTTTTTATTATTTAAATATCTTTAATCTATATAAAAATATTTAATTAGATTTATGGAACTCAATTATGTGATACGTCATCACATAACATAAATTTTAATAGAATTATGATGGAATGACTATATTAACTTGCCACACTGATTTTTAAGTACTACATTGATCTATTTTCGATTTTCAATAATCATTTGTGATAAAAATTCTAAAATAATTAATTAAGAAGATAAAGTAAACTATCGGTCAACATAATATGTTGAATTTAATCAATGGTCTAAGATAATCTTTAACTTTTATTGAAACAAATTGTATTTAACGATCACGACAATTCGTTAAACTTAATTAATGCTCTCAGGTAATTCTCAACTTTTATTAAATTAAACGGTACATAAAGGTACCGTAGAATCCTTAAAAAAAATATGAAATATATTCATTTTCATATATGTATGATAAAAAAATTGGAGCGTCCTTGATGCAGGATCTTGAACGGTTGGTAATTGCACTTGAAGTACTTGCTCTTGAGTAACTCCAACTTTGACAAGTTTCCCCTGAAAACGTGATATAGGTTAAAGGAATCTTAGCCCTGTTTCACCAAGAAGAAATTTCATCAGGCACTACTTCTTAGTCTCTTATTTTGTTTTTTTTTTGAGAATTTTAACGAAAAGTTTCTGGTACTGTTCATTTTAATGAAAAATCACATTTTTACATTAAAAAGTCAATCATGATACTATTCACTTTACTCTTTATTTTGTTCTTATCGATAAAACTCAAAGTTTTCAAACCATTTTCATTAGTTTTTTTTTTTTTTTTCTAAGCTTTTTTGGGCTATACATAGTTTGGTAGAAAACTAATTTTAATTTTATAGAAATCAGACTTCAGAATGTGCAAGAAATATTAAGTTAATGGTTATAACTCACATTTATCAAACTCGCACCAATATAATAATAATGTTATAGAAATTAAACTCAAAGTGTATAATTCCTACATATTGAAATCAAACACACACGAATTATTGTGAACGATAAAAGAACTTTGAGAAAAAAAAAGGAAATATAATGGTGGTGTTTTCAAAATACGAAAAATAGAAAGGCAGTCCGACAAATATTATTAATTTCAAACAGACCCCCGTAGAATGCAACAATTTTATGAAGGAGAAATATGACGCTGTATATTTTGCAGTGCGAGCAAAGGGCAGAGGTTTTCTCTCGACCAGACTCTTCCTCTCTTTGAAATTGTTCTTCGAATTGTTTCCGGAACGTCGTTTCTCAAACAGGTACTGCAATCACTTTCCTCACCTGCTTTATTGATCATCTTTTTATCAGATTTCGTTCAAGTACGGATTTGCTTTTGAAATATTGAACATTTGAATTTTGTTTGGTTTCTGGGAAAATCGAAGGAAATTAAATATCCTGGTGTGATTTTGAGTTTCTGGGTCCTCATATTTGAAAATTGAAATGTACCGATGGCTAAATTTAGCTGCGTTTAGGAATTTGATTAACGTATAACAGCAATTATTAAAAAATAAAAAAATTGATTAAGCATTTGTTAGTGAAAGCTTGTTTGAAGTAAATTGAATTCACATTTCTGTTTTTCTTTGCTTGTCTGCAGTTTTTGGATCAAATTATAGGTTTTGTGGAACTGAATTGGTGTGTTGGTTTGGTGTCGAAATTTTGTTAAAAATGAGTGTGGTGGGGTTTGATGTTGGAAATGAGAATTGTGTAATTGCGGTGGTGAAGCAACGGGGAGTTGATGTTTTGTTGAATGATGAATCGAAACGTGAAACCCCAGCTGTGGTTTGTTTTGGTGAGAAACAGAGGTTTCTGGGGTCTGCTGGTGCTGCTTCTGCAATGATGAACCCGAAATCTACGGTGTCTCAGGTGAAGAGACTGATTGGTAGAAAATTTACTGAGCCTGATGTTCAACGTGACCTTCGAATTTTGCCCTTTGAAACTTCTGAAGGCCCAGATGGTGGCATTTTGATTCATTTGAAGTACTTGGGTGTGACTCATACATTTACGCCGGTTCAAGTTACGGCAATGCTTTTTGCACATTTGAAAGATCTAATAGAGAAGAATCAGGAAATGCCTATTTCAGATTGTGTGATTAGTATTCCGTCGTACTTTGCAGACTTGCAAAGACGTACATATTTGGATGCTGCCACAGTTGCTGGGTTGAAGCCTTTGAGATTGATGCATGATTGTACTGCAACTGCTCTTAGTTATGGGATTTACAAAACAGATTTCTCAACTTCCGGTCCAACTTATGTGGCATTTGTTGACATTGGTCACTGTGATACACAGGTCTCTATTGCATCATTTGAGGCTGGGCAAATGAAGATCCTATCTCATACTTTTGACAGAAGCTTGGGAGGGAGAGACTTCGATGAGGTCTTGTTTAATCATTTTGCTGCACAGTTCAAGGAGCAGTACAGAATTGATGTATACTCTAATGTCAAGGCAAGTATCAGGCTACGGGCAGCATGTGAGAAGCTGAAGAAAGTTTTGAGTGCGAATGCTGAGGCACCTCTTAATATTGAGTGCTTAATGGATGAGAAAGATGTAAAGGGTTTCATTAAAAGGGAAGACTTTGAGATGCTGGCTTCAGGTTTATTGGAGAGGATTTGTGTTCCTTGTAGCGAAGCTCTAGCTGATGCAGGTTTGACCGCTGATAAGATTCATTCTGTGGAGCTTGTCGGGTCAGGGTCTAGGATCCCAGCGGTTGCTAGAATATTGGCTTCTGTGTTCAAGAATGAACCCCGCCGGACACTGAATGCAAGTGAGTGTGTAGCACGTGGATGCGCTCTTCAATGTGCAATGCTGAGTCCTGTTTTTCGAGTCAGAGAATATGAGGTTTGTATTTTGAAACAATTTTTCATATCTTAATCACAAAATACAGTGCTTTATTTCAGTTAAGAATACTATGACATATTGGTTCATATGCAATGCATCACTGTGCTGTTGTATGCAATGCCCTGTATACAACAAGAAATGAGTTTGTTTTCCCCCCCTTCCCTATTTCGGTTCGGGTTTTTGAAATTTGAGAGTATGAAAAGTCCTATCACAAAGCTTAAGCTTAGGGACCACCTTAAAAAAGGATTAATTTTCAGTTCTGTACATTAGTAGCACCTAAGAAGGAAGAAAGCATAATAATCCGTTAAAGATGTTTGCTTGATTTTGATTTTATTGGTTAAGGGTAACAACAGCACTTGCTGTGGATATGATGTGCATTCCGAAAATCCCTACTAGACTCAAAGGGATTAAAGCCTTTAATTATAAAATGTACATGCATATGTAACATGTCTTTCTTATCTGGATAGTTGCCCACAATGTGCGTAATGGTTTTCCCGGATCTATATGCAGGTTCAAGATTCAATTCCTTTCTCTATAGCATTCTTAATAGATGAGGCTCCAATTTGCCCAGGGACAAATGGCATCCTGTTTCCAAAAGGGCAACCCATTCCAAGTGTTAAAGTACTGACGTTTCGACGAAGCAGTTTATTTCATTTGAAAGCATTCTACGCTAATCCCACTGAAGTCCCTGCCGGTGTATCTTCTGATATTTGTTGTTTTACGGTAATATATTATGCTCTTCATTCCCCCTTTTCCCGTGGGTTGGGAGAGGGAATATGTGACACTGAGCACTGAGAATTTCATTGGTGGAGGTGCATGAAAAAATGTGAATAAAGGATGACTACATGGGAGAATTGAAGGTAGATCAAAGACAAACATGCTACCACTGAACACTAAGTTCAATGTCTAATCTTTGAGGGGAATATGTGACACTGAGAATTTTATTGGTGGAGGTGCATGAAAAAATGTGAATAAAGGATGACTACATGAGAGAAGTGAAGGTGAATCAAAGGCAAACCCACGTTACCACTGAACGCTAAGTTCAATGTCTAATCTCTGAAGTCTTGATAAGAATCTAGGATGATGCCATGATGGAAATCCCTTTTTTTTTTTTTTTGTTGGACAATTTATCGAACACTTGGGGGTGACAACCTCAGTTTTTGACATGTTAAACAATTCATCTGTTTAAAATTTAAATGTTTTTGTGTCGGCATGAGAGGGAAAGGAATGCCACCAAAAATGCTATTAAAAATATTTACTATGCAAATTCCAGTTAGATCCTTTTAGTTTTTAAGCTTACCTAGCAATGAAAATACCTGTTATTACTGGATTACTGTTACTTTGAAACTAATGACTGCTGTTTATGTAGATTGGCCCTTTCCAATGCTCCCATAGCAAAAAAACAAGGGTTAAAGTTAAAGTTGTTTTAAACCTCCACGGTGTTGTCTCTGTTGAATCAGCTATGGTAAGTAAATATTTTTTTTTCTGACACTACTAACTTTGTCATCTACTGGTTTCCTTCCTAGGATCTTTGTTTTGTGGCATTTTTTATGGTCAAAATTTTTGTGGTATAAATCTTATAATGGCTTCAGGTGATGGAAGAACACGGAGATGACTCTTCTACAAGGGGTCTTGCCGATTCAAAAATGGATCCAATGGACATTGATTATGTAACTGCTTCTGGTTCTACTGAGGCAGTTGCAGATGGATTTGAAAAAAGTAGTATACAGCACAACTCTTCACATACTAGTGTAAGTTTGTTTTCAACTCTTCCCTTATTTCATGCTGGAAGAACTAGAGATAAATCTGAGTCTTGAATAAATGCGATAATTCCCTTGTAATTAATCTACAGTAATCTTGTTGCTTGTACTTAATCTGCAATGCATACTTATTTGGTTTTGCAAAGTTCTTGTCAAATTCGGTTCTTTAAAGTTTCTGGAGCAGATGTAAACTTATTGAAAGGTATCCGCTTTTCCAGGGTGATCCTGAAAGAAACAATAAAGCTAGCAGGAGGCTAGAGATACCTGTTAGTGAAAGTATGTATGGTGGAATGACAAAGGCTGAACTTTCAGAAGCTCAAGACAAAGAGCTC